TAGAGATTGAAGCAGTTCAAGTCGAGGAGTATGGTTGTGAGGTAACCTATATTCAAGAGCCAACCACTCTAAGGTTACGTTGCCTTCGAAAATACTCAAATTTCTCATCCATCTGTGAGCATGAGGTAAAGGAAAAGGTTTGTCGAGATTCTGTTAAGCAAGGGGCAGGTGTGTAGAATATTCCGTCGAGTAGGTATTCAGCCAATCTGAGGCATTCAAGTAGGGATTTCATCCCTCAAAGGACAATCAAACTAGGGCAGTTACGTCGAGATTTGACAAATCTCTCTAAGAATGCATTAATCAGAGGAGAATCTTCCCAGAATTTGAAGGTGTATGAGCACTCGCTCAAACATAGTTGGAATCCTCTCCAATTTCGGTTATCTGAACATCATGTTCCAAAGTTCATAGCACTGGGGCAATTATGTCGAGATTTGATAAATCTCTCTAAGAATTTGTTGATTAGGGGAGAATCTTTGCAGAATTCAGAGATGCACGAGAATTCAATCAAGCATTGTTGAAGTTATTTCCAACTTTGGTCAGCCATGGGCAGTATTCTGAAGTTCATAACACTGGGGCAGTTTATCTTGGTGGTACATACCTCAAAAAGTCCTCTCGAGGCAATTTTTCTGCAAAAGCCTTACAGACTGGGGCAAGAATTCATGTAAGGGCTTTCTCTCTTCTTGAGTGGTTGATCAGATCACATCCATGTATAGGCTAAACGACCTATGAATTTGAAAATCATGCCGAGAAGTTAAGATTGTTATCTTCAACTTATCAGAGACTCAAGACCATTTACTGATATCCTTTGTCCTAAGTTAAGGTCATTATCCCCAGTTGAAGTTCGGATTGTTATCCTCAGCAGGATATGAGCAGTAACGTAAAGATCATTTGAAGATTGTTTACACGTACAAGATACGATGGAAATACTGCTTCCTAGGAGGACGCCTCTCCATAGTAAAAGACCTTTTGCTACTTAGACCTATCTACCAGGAGGTTTCTTTTCTAAGATATTTTCTCCCCAATGAAGTATCCTCGTTTCTCTGCAGGAGGAGAATGTTCTTCTCCCTAGAATTGCAAAGTTGTTTAAAGTCAAGATGATTTATTTTCAGTGGACAGCAATTTATGTTTGCAGCATCTTCTCCAAAGTCCAGTATTTAGTGGCATTCATCCTTGGAGTCGAAATGTTGAAGTAGCAATCTTGCATCGCAGTTTTTACCCAGTGATTGATCGTTCAAGTTGTATATTCTTCAGTAAGGTTTTCCATTCCAAACAGGGGCATGTCACCCCAATTTCTGTTTTGCAAATACTTGTTGGTCTTGCATGACAAGAAGCATACCAGCAAGTGAATCAAGAAAGGTCTGCATGTGACCAACATGAGGATTTTTGTAGAATGGGATTCAATCTCCCGAGTGAATGTTCACTTCTTCTCAAGACAGAATCATGTATCCCCAATAAGGGCGTACTCTCTCCCAGACATAAATCCTTATCTCCATTAAAAGTATGTCTGTGCGTAATCCCCACTGAAGTCAGTACTCTCAATGAGAGTTTGTTTAAGAGTTTGTCCCTCCCATAAGACTTATCTCTGAATAAATGCATTTCAACAAATTTTGTATAAACTTCTTCATCAGCATAGTCGACTCAGCTTCGATAAATCCTGAAAAGATCATTTCGTTGGATTGTAGACCTTTGTTATATCCTCTCGAAGTCAGTACCATATATCTCCGTGGTAGGTACTTATCTCCCTAGGGAGGTTGCTGGTCATCGTCTCTCTGAAGTTCGTATCTTTTCTCCCTAGGGAAATTTTGCCCAAGTCAGGTTTTCTTGAAGAGATGTTTGATTAACATGTTTGTTATGCCCAGCAGAGCAGGTCTCCTATATTTTTTTTCTAGGGAAGAGTACTTGGACAAATGTCGTTTAAAATTTTTGTATCCCAGTGATGGGATATGGATGAAATATTTCCTCGGAAGAGTTCCAAACCTCAAGCTTATGGTTCAAAGATGACCTTCTCTTCCTCAAGTGAAGATTGTTACCCTCGACAGTAATATCCTCTGTGTGGCCTGGTTAGAATTATTTTATTGAAAGAAAAAAAAATGAAAAAAAAACAAAAAAAATTTTGCGATTCCCCAATCAAAGTCACTTCTATCGAAGACTTACATCGGAAGGTCCCAATTCCTAGCAAGATTCTCTTTATCCTTGGAAAGAGATGTTGGATTTTTCCCTAAGAAGTTGGGAGTTGGATCAGAGTTCGAAAATTTCCATGAACTGCAATTTATTTTTGCAGTATTTTCCCCAGTGAAGCGAGTTTTCATTCCCTAGTGGAGCATGCTTTCTAGAACAAACGTCATCTTCTCCCCAGTATGGTGCACATAGGAGCACCAATTATAACTCCTTCATCCCGGAATATGAAAGATTTTGTTGAGATGTCAGCGGTGGAGTTTCTGTCCTAGGATGTTTTGGTTCTTCCCCAAGTGAAGATTTTTATCCCCCGGCGTTGTTATCCCCAGTGTGGTCTGAGTAGAATTCTATTTATTTAAGAATTTATATACTCCCCAGTAGAAGCTATCTTCGTAAAGAAGTTCTGCGAAAGAGAAAGCTTCCATCCCCAGCGAAGCTCTCCCCGTTCTAACAGAAGATAAAGTATCTATCCCCCAGGAATTTGGAAGTTTGATCAGAATTCAAGATTTTCTCTCAAACTGCAATTTATTTTTTGCAGTATTACTACCCAGGAAGTTATTTCTTCAATGTTATCAATCATTCGAGGTTGATGATTTCGAATCTCGATTTCCTACTGAAGTTCATATTGCATGTCCTCTACAGGAGATTAGATGTGCAAGAATAATCATTTGAAAGTTCATTATCTTCCCAACATCCGATTATTGACGTGGTCTCCCCATTGCATCATTACATTGCATCATTACATCGCATCTACTAAAATGCATATCATTTCCATTGCATGGAGCATTACGCTATAAAAAATTCAAACATGCATAAGTATAAGCCAATTATGTCCACTTGTGGTAACCAGATTGTTATGCGCTCAGATTTGATTTATCTCCACAACAAGCCTAAGGGTGACTCTATTATGTTTCCCCAGCGGGGTTTGTTTTGATTCACCATCAGTCAGGTCTTTGGTATTCCTCCATCTCCCCAGTAAGTTTGTGGTTTGCGCTTGCCTTTGCAAGCCTTTGGTTATTTTACCCGTGTTCGCTTTGCCGTTAGAGTGCGAGTAAGAGTCGACGTATAGCCTTTCTTATTTCTCAAGTATTTGAGTGTCCATACTTGGTGTGTGGTAATTCAGATGATTGCCACTCTTGAAGAATTATACCCCGCCTTTGGCCTGAGGGATTTGTTAGTTCTTGCGTATTTGCAACCTATCGAAAGCCTAACATGTTTTTCTTTGTTAGAGTCTGCTTGGACCAGTCCCTTTCTCTTGCAGAGTTCACATTCGATCGGTGCTCTTTGAAGGTCCTGCTTAGTCGGCTCCTTGTTTTGGTTTATTTACGTTAGTCGGGTCCTCCTTTCGTTAGCCTAGCTAATCTTTTATGTTAAGAGTCTTTCAGTGTCTCTTCTAAGTCTAGTTGTCTAGCATCCTTATTTAGGCGAATGCGCCCTTTTTATTGGGGCTTTCTTCGGTTAGTCTCGTTTCTGTGTTCGCTGGCAATTCTAAACATTTGTTTCTTGATGATCAACTTCGCTCTTGTGTATCTAACTCTGACCAGACATGCATACCTGTATTTTTCAAAACCCCGCTTCGCCTGGTATCTTTTGTCAAAATCCCGCTTCGGATGGTGTCATTTATTTTAAATCCACCTTCGATTGACATCATTTGTCCGGAGTCCCATTCGTTTGGTCTCCTTCCTCAGTAAGTCCGCCTTCGATTGGTGTTTCTTTGCAAGAGCTTTCTTCGGTCTGTCTCTTTCGTACATATCCGATACCAACCACGGATATGTATTTTCGATACCTGTTTCATACATCTGCTACCAACCTCAGACATATGTTCTTGTATCTTTGATGTCTCTTTTGTACGTATCCGATACCGACCACGGATATGTATCTTTGATATCTCTTTTGTGCGTATCCGATACCGACCACGGATATGTATCTTGTCTATATCTTTTGTGCGTATCCGATACCGACCACGGATATGTATCTTTTATATCTCTTTCTTACGTGTCCGATACCGACCACGGATATGTATTTTTGATGTCTCTTTCTGGTATATCCGCTACCAACCCCGGATATGTGTCTCTGATATTTTTTCGTATGTCTACTACAGGCTTCAGGCATATATCTTTTGATACCTTTCTTACAGGTGTTTGTTACTAAATCCCAACAGATGTTCCTTGATAACCAAATTATTCTGTTGTGTATCAAACTCTGGTTAAACATACATCTAACCCCGATAACCCATGTAATCCAAAAAGCAAAATAATATAATAAAAATAGATTCCGAAAAAAGAAAAATAATAATACTTGACTGACTCCGGAGCGCAAATTTTTGGGTCCTTTTAAGTATTTAATCTTCTTCCACCTTGAAAGTTTGAAAGGCTGGTGCCAATCTCACCTTCAGGTTAAAGACGATTAAATAGGAGCAGCTGTTGCACCCCAAAATTTGCCCTCCTAATTTCCTTTATTTTGGCTTAGACTTTTGCATTCATCTGCATCTTTTTCATTAGGTCACTAACATGGCATACATTTCATTTAATATAGCTCTGAGGTTCAAAGTTCAGCGGTTGTGCGATACTAGGGTTTCATAGTGGTTAAGGCGCTCATATCCAATAAAGGACTTCTTCTCCCTCAAGCAGCAAGGCTATTATCTTCTGATAAACAACCGATTGTAGGTCATTCTGGTCGAGAACTCTAGGACGTGACCTAGCATATGTGGGCTTCGAATCATGACGTCCTTTCCTATAAGTATGCTTGTCATTTGATTAGGATTAATGACTGTGACATGACAATCGTCTACTCCTCAGTTAATCAAATTAGGTTTTTTTTGAATCATGGTTCAAAGATGTTTTATCCAGATATTTCTCTGTGCGTCTGAACGAGGAATCAAGATTGTGAGGGTTTCACATCAAGGGAATTCTTCTGTGATTCAGACTTTATCATCCATCTGTAAGATGTTCCTTATGACACTAATCTCAAGTTGAAATAACCGATCGCTAAGGGCTGAGGATTGAATTGTGAAGTGTGGTTCATGACCTAAGATATGAATTCATAGATTTCCCCTTAACCAAGGCCATCATTGTCTTCATCATTGTCATTTGTTATCTGCGATGTGAGTAGGTTTGGATTGAAGTAGGTTTCCCATAGAAGAGTTCATGCAAGGTAATTAAAGGTTCAAGGCATTCAAGGCAGGGTTTTGTTCAACATGGCATACCTGGTTGATGGGCTTACAAGCCCTTATGAGACCTTGAGATGCATAATCATGGGCCAAGTTCAAAGATACGAGGATAAGATCTGCTGACTTCGGTTAAAGTAAGCTTTGAACAATTAACTTTGGGACCAAGGTCTCCCTTGAATTTTCATCTAATATGTGTCGGGAATTCGAGTTGCATTTGAAGAATGGTATGGTAAAGGAAAAGAAATATTGGTTCAGAAAAGGAAGATTTCATTAAAAATCAGGATTTCTATTCATTGATAAATGTTCAAGTAATCGAAGATCAGGGGAAATAAGGTTTCATGTTAATCTCGATCATGTTCTTTCATTATCATTTGTGTACATGTTTGATGATTAAAGGTCGTCAATTAGAGAAGGATCTCGTCGAGATAAGAGGCTTGTGGATTGAATCGTGGAATATGAGGCATGATACAAAAGGCAAGGTTGTGAATTTTTTAGGATCAAGATCTTATTGACTATTCAAATCATTTGTCAGTCAAGTTTATTTAGGTTCAAGATTGAAGTTAGGAGTTCATTGAGAATGCAAGTGTGATTTGGATTTGAATTTTGATTTGAGTTCAAGATGTTCGAAAGTGTTTGATTGGATTAAAGTCGGCAAAGAGTCTTAAGTATTGTTCATATGGCTTTCTTGGATGGTAAAGTGCAGACTGCGAGGTTTTGTTTCAAGTCAGAGTTCATACGCATTACAAAGATGTTCACCGTTATTTCAGATTCAAGTTCACAATGCGTTCAAACATTTATTCAAGAAAATACTATCCAATTCCATTCAATTTCATTCAAGTGTAACAATACCTTACAAGAAAATTTGATGCTTTCATGTCTTCAAGCATTTTCTCAAGACTTTGTCATTTAAACTCCATCCTTAAAATTCATCACCCAACATTTCAAACTCAAAGGTCATTTACAATTCACACTATAAATTTCAAGTTCATCCAAACCAAACATTCATTATAAAATCATTACAATCCCATTACACCAATATTCTACAAAGAAAAAAAAACTGTTACAAAATACACTTGAACAAAATTCTTTAGTCCTAAAGGTGCTAAAATCCCATGAGTAAACTTCTAATTCCATGCCATGCCAAAGTTCTTCATCTTCAGTTCATGACCTGCACATTCATACAAAAAAATAGCCACCAAGCCTAACAAACTAAAACCCAGCGTCCCAATTTCCTTTCTACTTTCCAAGTTACAAAAGCAGATGTTGAAAATATTATTGACTGGGAAAGCACTTATTCAAAGCAAGTTGAGATCCCTTTCAAGCCTGCTCGCGTTCTCTTGCAGGACTTTACTGGAGTACCAGCTGTTGTTGATCTGGCTTGCATGCGTGATGCTATGAATAAGCTTGGCAGTGATTCTAATAAGATCAACCCTTTGGTTCCTGTTGATCTTGTTGTTGATCATTCAGTGCAAGTTGATGTAGCAAGGTCAGAGAATGTCGTGCAGGCAAATATGGAGCTTGAGTTCCAGAGAAACAGGGAGAGATTTGCTTTTCTTAAATGGGGGTCAACTGCTTTCTGTAATATGCTCGTTGTTCCTCCTGGTTCTGGTATAGTACACCAGGTCAATCTTGAATATCTTGGACGAGTTGTTTTCAACAATGAGGGATTACTCTATCCTGACAGTGTGGTTGGGACTGATTCACATACAACTATGATTGATGGACTTGAAGTTGCTGGATGGGGTGTTGGGGGCATTGAAGCAGAGGCAGCAATGCTTGGCCAGCCTATGAGTATGGTGTTACCTGGTGTTGTTGGGTTCAAGTTGTCTGGAAAATTGCGCAATGGTGTTACAGCAACTGATTTGGTTCTAACTGTCACACAAATTCTTAGGAAACACGGTGTTGTAGGGAAATTTGTTGAATTTTTTGGCAATGGTATGGGTGAATTATCATTAGCTGACAGGGCCACTATTTTCAATATGTCTCCTGAATATGGAGCAACCATGGGTTTCTTCCCTGTAGATCATGTAACATTACAATACCTCAAACTAACTGGAAGAAGTGACGAGACTGTGGCAATGATAGAGGCCTATCTCAGAGCAAACAAATTGTTTGTCGACTATAAAGAGCCTCAAGAAGACAGAGCTTATCCATCCTATCTAGAATTAAATCTTGACGAAGTTGAACCGTGTATCTCAGGACCAAAGAGACCTCATGACCGTATGGCTTTGAAAGAAATGAAGGCTGATTGGCATTCTAGTCTTGATAACAAAGTGGGATTTAAGGGAGTTGCTATACCAAAAGAAGCACAAGGGAAGGTTGCAAAATTTGATTTTCATGGGCATGCCTTCATTTGATAGAAGCATTTTAGACAATTCAGCTGACGCAGCTGTTCCTGTGCAAGACGATCCACATCATCACTTCTACCAACATACATAACAGAATTTTCTAAACCGAATTCTAAATAGCCTATTCCAAAATTAACCTGCAAACTGAATTACTAATTCCCATAACCGAATTCCAACTAACATTTTCGTTCAACTACTAACTTCTTCACATAGCATATTACCTCTTAATAACAAAATTGCCTTCAACAAACCTAGCTAAATCCATTAACTTCCTTTCACAATAGAATTTCTAACTAATTTGCTACTAAACTGTCATATTCCCTAACTGTCCAGCAGAAAAATAACTAAACAGTATCCTAGCTACTCTTCATTCCAAAACTAACACATAACCTCCCCTCTAACCGATTTTCCAGCTCATCTCTTAACTACCGTAACACAACTTCCTCTAACAGCCTAACTCCTCTAACTCCAACCAATTCCAAACAGGACTTCTAACTTACAACTAACACAATTTCAACCAACCTTTCTAATTCACAGATTCCTAACCGTTTCTTAACCAACTTCCAAAGTAGAATTTCTAAACAACAAATTTCCAGCTTTCTTACAACCTATTCCCCAACTAAATTCCCTAACAGAATTTTCTAACCATAACTTCCTATCCAAAACCATATCTCAATTAACCAACTTAACTAACCCAAAAACAGTTACAGCATACCTAACATTCAGTAACCAATTCATAACAAACTCTCAAACCTTCTAACCACTTATAACTGCATAAACAGAATTAACTAACCACATAACCAACTCATGGCTTATTTTACAACAAAAACTCCAGCATATACATAATAAAAAGGACCACAGTCAGAAAAGGAGGGAGGATTTTATTTTACATTAAGAAAGAAACTCACCTTTACGATGATTCCTCCTTGACTTTTGAGAAGAATCACCAAGAAAATTCTGAAAAAAACCTCTTCACATCTTTATCACTCTCTCGCCTCCATAACTGTCTTCCTCTCTGCAACATCAAGAACACAGCGATTCATACTTCAACCTTCAACGAATTGCAGCAACTCCTCTCTTTCAATCAACAACATCAAATCCACATCATCATCATCTTCATCACATTAATCATCACGGTCAACATCGATAGCGCACTTCAACAATCTGCAACTCCGAATTCACAACATCAACAACACCTGGCAACAGAAAATCGCACAGAACCACACAACATTACAACATCGCAGAAAATCGAACAAAGAAGTAGAACAAGAATCGGACATGAAACACATACCGGAGCGTATTTCTCTGGATTTCTCGCTGCCACTGTTGCGATTAAGAAGCCACCAGAGCTGCTCCGGTAGGTGAGTCCCCCTCACTTCAATAATTTTTTGCTTTCTGTTATTGTTTGTGTCGAAAGCGAATTGGAAGGTGAATCGGAGATGGCGCAAGAAGGCATAATCAGACAAAGATTGATGAGAGGTGGTGAATGGAGTCGATACAGAGTGGAAGAGAAGACGGCGGAGACTGAGACGGAGCAACGCGAGGACGAAGAGGCGGAGGCGCCGCCGCTGTTCTGTTTGAGAAGAAGGACGAAACATTTTTTTCTCTAATCCTAACCCTTTTCCAATTTCATACGTTCTTTCTTTTTTAGTTTTTGTCTTATTGTTTTATTTACTTAATTCAAATTAATAATAATAATAACTAAGTAAATAATAAATAAAATGTTGAAAATGCTTATTGGACTCACTCTTGTTGGGCCTGGTGCCATTTTAATTTTTGCTTGCAGCATACCCTGAATTCAGCTTGTACCCCCTGACTCTTCTAATTTTTCTTTTTTTATTATTTCAGTTTCTTCTAGTTTAATTTTTCTCTCAATTGATAATAAAATGATACAAAACAATAGGATATTTTAGAATTCTTTAGAATTTCTTTTTAGAATTTCGATTAGAATTTTTTTATTTTATTTTTCATATTCGATAATCATTTTTATTGCCATTTTCTAGTCAAGATTTTTGTAGCATCGACATAACTCTTGCAATATGGAATATTTGGAGATTAATCTTCAATCACTTGCCCAAGGGAACTTTGATAGAATTTTCTTACCGCTACACAATTTTGAAGAGGCGACAGACCTTTTCCGTTCGATATCGTCACAACTCTATTTTTACTCCTGCACTTTACCACTTTCTAGGTAGAATTCCCTCAAGATTCTAACTTTAGGTCTAATGCACGATAACATTAGATTTAGAAATAGGCTAGTCTTCCTGTGACCTTCGTCTTCCTGTGACTTTCGTCTTCCTGTGACCTTCGTCTTCCTGTGACCTTCGTCTTCCTGTGACTTTTGTCTTCCTGTGACTTTCGTCTTCCTGTGACTTTCGTCTTCCTGTGACCTTCGTCTTCCCGTGACTTTCGTCTTCCTGTGACTTTCGTCTTCCTGTGAACTTCGTCTTCCTGTGACCTTCGTCTTCCTGTGACCTTCGTCTTCCTGTGACTTCCGTCTTCCTGTGACTTCGTCTTCCTGTGACTTTCGTCTTCCTGTGACTTTCGTCTTCCTGTGACTTTCGTCTTCCTGTGAACTTCGTCTTCCTGTGACTTTCTTCTTCCTGTGACTTTCGTCTTCCTGTGACTTTCGTCTTCCTGTGACTTTCTTCTTCCTGTGACTTTCGTCTTCCTGTGACTTTCTTTCCTCCTTTGCATATGCAGTTAAAACAAAAAAAAAATTTTACAAACTTCAAAAATACATAAAAATTTACTGACAAAAACCATGTCTTGGCTAAGTTTGAGAGATGATGAGCGGGTTTCTTCTCGACATTATTATTCTCTTGTTCTAAGCTTTGGTATGATTCAAGTCTCAAAGACTCATTTCATGAATAAATAGAGAAATGGCTAAAATCTCTCTCTTGAGGTTAACTAGCTATTATCTACAAGCAAAAACACCAACAAACATAAAAATCTTTTTACCCTCGGGCCTTTCTTTCAAACCCTTTCCAAAAGAGCGTATTAATTCACTTCTGTGCTGACGCGTAAATATCCAAAGGTCGAGTTGCGGCAGAAGGCGAAATTAATGTTGTTCATTAAGAAAAATACCAATCGACAAAAACATATAAGCTGAACTACGGCTGCTCTGATTCCTTAAAAAGGATACGTAGGCATTGGGGTAGGGCCCAGGCGAGCACAATTTTATTTTCCCTACATTCTTTTCTCCTTTCTTTTGCATGCATTCTCCCTTAGTATAGTAAACAGTAAGCATAGATTAAACACACCCATAAGATAGATAACAAGAGTGGATACCGTAGAGTACTACGGGCGTGTGGGGTGCTAATACCTTCCCCTCGCGTAACAGACTCCCTTACCCGATCTCTCGGTCGCAAGACCGTGACTTCTCCCTTCTCAGGTTTTCTCGATGTTTACCTTTCCCTACATGTGGGATAAAAGACGTTCGATGGCGACTTCATTGTTTGATGATTTTCAGCCGGTTGTTTCACTCACACTTGCATCCTTAGGGTATTCCTCACTTGGTTGCCTTTGGAAATGGTCATGTCCCTCGAACGTAGAGATATCTTAGCAAAGACCCTCAGTACTAAAGTCATCAAAAAGATCATGGTCCCTAATTTCCCTCGAGTTGCCTACGAGAAATGATCTTATCCCTCGATGTTGCTTATATGATGACCGTCCATTCGAATGCTAAGATATCTTTACTTATTTCCTTCGATGACCATAACGTCCCTTTCGATAGTCCCTCAACATCCAACGATAGGGCTAACTACTCACTAATAGTAGGATATCACTATCTAAAGGGTAGGAGGAAAAGAACATCATTTTCGAGTAGGTAGACTGTTCTTAAGTACTTTCTCAAATCTGAACCTTTCACACTTACACACTTTTCAAAAACTATTTTCAAAAATGCTTTATCACACTCTTGATGACTGATACAAGAGTTACCATAAAGTAAACAAAAACTTTCAAAACACACAAACATTTTTTAAAATGAGCAAGTACCTAAGAGCCCGTGGAAAACCACAGATTGAAAGGGTGCAAACACCTTATCTTTCCATTATCTACCCCCCTTACTCAGAAAATCTCGAAAAAATGTCTTTTTATGTTCTTTTCACCCTTTCCTTTGTTGGATAAAAGAAAAGTTGGTGGCGACTCTTTCTTACCACAAAATTTGCGGAAAAAAACGCAAGCCAATATTAAACAGTCGATTCTGGCACCGTATCACATGGTTCGTATCAAAATCTGTCATATTTTGTTTGATCTTCATCCGAATAAAATAATTTGGAACCATACTATTTTGGGGGAGTTTTCGCTAAAAGAGGCCTATGATTTTAAGCTAAATATGGATGTTAGGTTGGAATGGTGTAGCTGGGTTTGGTCGAAGTTTATCTCAGCATCTAAATCCTTCTTGGTTTTGAGATTATTGGTGTCTAAGCTTTCTACTGATGATAGCTCAAAATAAGGAATTTTGCTTTCCCGTCCATTTGCAGCCTGTGTCATTTGGAGGAAGAGGATGCTAATCACCTTTTATTTGATTGTTCTTATCCTTTGATAATTTGGAATTGGTTGTCTCATTCCTTGAATCTCAGTTCACGGATTAGGAGTTGTGAGGATATGTTGTGCATTCGAAAGCGGTCTTGTTCGGAGCAATGTAAGATGATTTTTAATGTTGCGGTTATTTATCTATTTAATGCTATTTGGTTTGCTCGGAATAATGTCAGATTCAAAAATGTTAGAATTTCTCCATCTTCTTCTATTTTCGGAATTATCTCTACTTGTGGGATAACGGGTAACAATTTCAATTCTCCATCTCATTGAAATATTCAAGACTTTCAGATCTTTATGTGTTTTAGGGTCACGATACAGCATCCTAGTGCCCCTAGAATTGTTGAAGTTATTTGGAAGCTACCTCCTTGGCATTAGATTAAGATTAATTGTGGTGGGGCCTCTTCAGGTAATCCTGGTCCGTCTTCTTGTGGAAGTATTGCTAGAGACTTAGAGGGTAGGTTTCT